GTTACATCTAGGTACATTTACAGTGTACATCAAGTCGGCCATGTCACATCTAGGTACATTTATAGTGTACATCAAGTCGGCCATATTACAGCTTGGTACATTGATAGTGTATACATCAAGTCGGCCATGTTACATCTAGGTACATTTATAGTGTAGACCGATTCGTTCATGTTACATCAGTTTACATTTATAGTGTACATCAAGTCGGCCATGTTACATCTTGGTACATCATGTCGGCCATGTTACATCTAGGTACGTTTATAGTGTACTTCAAGTCGACCATATTGCATTTAAGTGCATTTATAGTGTACATCAAGTCGGCCATGTTACATCTAGGTTCATTTATAGCGTACGTCAAGTCGTCCATGTTTAACCTAGGTACATTTATGGTGGACATCATGTCGGCCATGTTACATCAAGGTACATTTATAGCGTACGTCAAGTCGTCCATGTTTAACCTAGGTACATTTATAATTTATACATACAGTCGCCCATGTTACATCTAGGTACATTTATAGTGTATACATCAAGTCGGCCATGTTACATCTAGGTACACTAATATTGTACATCGTGTCGGCCATATTGCATCGGCCATGCGAGGTGTTGCTTGCAAGGTTCCCTCCCCAGAGCCTACCCTGATTACCAAGCCTGCTATAGACATGCACTTTTCAAAAGCACATGTAATTCAATTTACTCAAAAACCATTCTGGACAGCTCCGCTGAATGTGGCTCACGTCAGGCCCCCTTGTCCACTTCAACTTTTCTGCTGCTACTGACAATATACCTTCACATATGTTGTTAACATTACATACTCATCCAGATGAAAGTATCACAGTTCTTTAAGACAGGTGACCAATTAAAGTACCATCTTTGAGACAGGTGGCTCATCAAAGTACCATCTTTAAGATAGACCACTCATCAAAGCACCATCTTTAGACAGTCCACCCATCAAAGTACCATCTTTAAGACAGGTCGCCGATCAAAGTACCATCTTTAAGACAAGCCACCCATCAGTGACCATCTTTGAGACAGGCCATCGACTCACGAACAATATATCAATTTTGGAATAAAATTGACTTACAATGGTACCATTGCATTACCATGTGATTTGAAGGCTAATATTCCTGCAACACCCGACTACATTCCATTGCTGAAGCGTCGTCTTCCCGAACGAACCCAGTTATTAGATTGTTTATTGTTGGGCATAAACCACTCATTGTTTGGGACAAATATCTTGTGGGTGAACGTTGCAAGCGTTATGACTGGATAACGCCGTCCGATATATGAACTACATGTTGGACTCGGGTCACATATTGCCCAACTGATCACATTCCGGTGGAAATTCTGTTGAAACAACCCATGAAACAGTCAGTATTCAAAACAGTAATATAGGACGGATTGCTTTATGAGCACTTGCGTGAAACATGACACATGTGTGTTGAGTGGTGTTCCCTTGAAGCTGATACTCGCTCAAGCTGTTAGCCTCCACCAATAGCCTGGGGTGGCCTGGTCGAATTCTTCCCGTGTTATGGAGCGGAACCTGGGTAAGTGGTAAATCTGATTTCACCGACCCAGAGATCCGCGACCGGGTAGTGATACCCAGACTAGAGGGCGTGACCTCAGCACGACACAGGTGGTATTTAAGCGGTGGTTTAGAGGCGTGAAGGGTGTCGGGGCTGGGGATAACAGGACTGTGTTTACGCTTCCTGCAGAGGTCCAGCTGCGGGAGGTCAGACCAGGGATTGTGAGGTGAAGCCTTACACGGGTCATTGTCGGGACATTGTACACTTTCAGTTTTCCTGAGAAAATATTGCTTTGGGAGAAAAACGACTTCTCTACAACTGTACTTTTTACATTTTCACATTTTAGTCATTTAGTGATACGTGTCCGAAACTCAGCTAAACCACTGATGTCCATAATCGTATGGGTCAAAAAGGGATTCCGGAACAGAGAGTGAGAAGTTTAGTTTTACGCCGCTTTTAGCAATATTCCAGCAGTATCACGGCGGGGAACACCAGAAATGGGCTTCACAGGCGAACGCTTTAACCACTTGGCTACCCCACCGCCCCTTATCACGGGGGAGGATCAGAGAGAAGTAGATCAATGAAGATTATTCCGTGTGAACTTTATTATATCATATAAGTGTAGTAATCCAACAAACAGATACACCCTGGCGCTGACAATAGGAATCGATGATGCCACCCATGGGACGCCCGGCCCCAACTCGGTTACATTGCTTGTCAGAGACGGCTGACATGGATTGGGAGGTCCGAAACTGTCAGTCCGACACTGTTAGTCATTGTATGTCGTTGTTCCCCACAGATGTGAGACGTTTCAATCACCGGCTTGCTTGGTCAACACTTAGTTACTTACTAAACGCCGTGTACAGGTTCACAGGTCAGTATGTGACGTTAAACCCTGTTTCGGGGCGGTGGGGTAGCCTATAGTCCGTCAACAGAAATTTTGGCACCCTGTTTTTCACAATTTACCTTTTAACCAAAAATGCCTTCAAAATGTTTTTGTGCATACGCTCTTTATGTCTTACGACCTATGTAAGCTTTAAATTTCTTAAGAAGGCATCATATAAAAATATGAAAAATAGAAGTAGTTATACAAGGGAGTAAAATGATATGATGGAACAGCCAACAACATGGTGTGACGCACGTGCATCTTGTTTACATTGTTACGCCTGCAAGCAAATCTACAGGGACTGTATAATCATCACAAATCCATTTTAAACATGTCGTTGTATTGAAGTCTTTAAAGACCCGGGGTAAAGCATGTGAGTACATGATTAAAGAATGTCACTGTTCTCCATCTGATCCTGAACTGCAAGATGCACCTAGTTCTACGTCTGTGTCACTGTCTGAGTTCAAATCCACAATCACTGGGTTAACACACCCCTTTTGCAAACCATCCTTTTTCCAGTACTGCTGTTCAATATCTAGCACTGGCTGTACACAACAGTTCCACAACTCTGGCGTAACGTCCCTGATTTCTTCATGAACGATGTTCTTCACATCTCTTAATTTGAAAGAACGGGTTTTTCTTGGCCACGTTGTTTTTTATATGTCCCCACACAAGTTCAATAGGATTTAGATCACAGTGGTAAGGCGGCAACCGAATGACCTCGTGTCCATGAAGCTTCAGCAAGTTGTCAGTTTGATACACTGGCGTTGGTTTCCTGGCAAGGATGATTATATACAGTATTACCTTTGTTGCTTTTGGGGGATTGTCAATGCCTGTCCAACCATTGCACCATATCTCCCTTCCTTGATGCAGAGGTGGGGCATCTGTTGTTCGGTTCTCTGCAGCTATGGTAAAGAGCATTATCCATGACTACGACTGATTTAGCGGGTAGTGTTGGGATAAGCTGCTCTGTCACATACTCGGTAAACACAGTTGAGTTCATTTCCGAGTGGTAGTCGTGTCCATCCGTGGACTTGGAACGGAAAACAATGTCACAACCAGGGATAAACCCTAAATGAGAACCTGCGTGAACAACAATAAGTCTCCTGCCTTTCCCTAATGGAATCTTCCTGTTATTGACTGCTTCTGGATGTTGCCACTGGTAAGAGGAAGTATGGTTTGCATTCACCCATGTCTCATCTAGCCACACGATCTCTCGTCCCTCTTGTCTCTTATGTATTCTGCTCAGATAATAGGCTCTCATACAAGTGATATCTGCCCTTTCACATAGCGTCAGATTCTGGTTGCTCAATCTCTTGTATCTATATCCAAATTTGAGCAACAGCTTGCATATAGTATACTTTGCTACATTGATGTCATGGTCTTCTGATAATATTTTCTTCAATTTACTTGACGACATGGACTCATTGGATCGATGTAACCGACGTATGAGGTCCCTCACAAGCCTTCTGTCGAATTCATCAAGCTTTCTTTTCTTTGCATGTTTTGAGACGGCCCCCGATTTAACTGCCACATCATCATCATGCTCTGAAATAGTGCTAAGGGAGATAACTCTTTACAAAGTTCATTTGCAGGTGGCATTAATTGTTCTTTTAGTGAAACACTCATTTGAAATACGAGGGTTTTTCGCTTTGCCTCGCGCTTGATAAAGTTGTGAACTCTTTTAATGATTTGCCGGGCATCTTTGGACACCATCGTTTTCACCACTACTCTTCTACCTGTGTGCTGACGATCTATGACATCACTTAAGCGTGCTAAACCCCTTCATGTACATTTCACGCTGACACACTTTACAATGTTGTTGGCTTATCCATCACGTGCGTTAACCCCTCGTAACACTCTCCACAGTTTTACAGTTATTATATGATAGGTTTAAAGGCAAAATCTTTAATAACCGTTTTAAAAAGACTAAACTCGATATCTTGTTAGGCCACGGGATACAATTGTCATATGAACAGGGTAATGTTTTAAAATATTCTGGAGTTTTATGTAAATTGTGAAAAACGGTGCCAAAAGTTAAGTTGACGGGCTATAGTGGTTAACGCTGGTCACGCTGAAGGCCCGGGTTCGATTTCCCACATGAGTACAATGTATGAAGCCCATTTCTGGTGTCCTCTGCCGTGATATTGCTGTAATATTGCTAAAAGAGACGTAAAACCAAACTCACTCACTCACTAAACCCAGTTTCACCTCACCTGGTCCCACACGAAAAGCAAGTAACTGGTGACAATAGCGAGCATGCCTGATTTTACATGCGATTCTGACAATTAGGATTTCTGAAAATGTCACCATGGTATCTTATGCCGGCGTTCAAGATGTATGTGTGCTGATGTACAGGCTTAGTGTGTACAGATACAACACCTGTAAATATGCGAGCGTTTGAGATCCATTACATTAAACTAGACACCCGGCATAGATCCATTACACTGAACTAGACGTATTGAAGCGAAGTGTCAATTACCGGTAGATTTTATTCGACAACTTGAATAAATCTATTAGACAATATCAGATGTATTGAATTAAATTGACACAATTACAACCACTGAATTAATCAGTTAGACGCAACTACACAAAGTGAATTTGTTTATTGCTATCTACGTACATAGTAGACTTGAATACAAGGACACTTATTACAGGAAGCGCCCATAGAATGGTGCATAAACAGTGACACTACAGTCTGGTGAACACTACACTGTGCAGTGTTACAGTGTTAAAGTGTTACAGTGTTACGGTGTTACGGTGTTACAGCATCTGTATACTGTTCTGATGACGTGAAGCCGTCACAACACAACACCATGGAGACAAGGAAGGTTGTCGAGGGAGACTCGACATGACGCAAGTGATAGGGTAGCACACAACCGCTGGGGACCTGCTGCAGCCTAGGTGTAGGTGTGGAGCAGGGTCAAGCCTTGGTCAGCTGTTCTGTCATCGGCTGGAGTAATGGCTGGCTTACACGTGGGCGACTCGTCTTGGGACAAAACTGATGGTAGACTGTAGCTCTGTAAGACGTGTGGGGTATATGTTCTCAAAGTGCCAACCAAAGTGGATATCAACTGAAACTGGTTATGGTAATGTTGCAATGGGTGATTTACTCGTTTAGGCTGCCAGCTGTGCACAAATGTATATACACCAATGAAGACCATCAGCCTGATGTCGTCTATAATACGTGCTGATCACAAAAAGATTTGTCTTTCTTTAGGCAGTGTTATAATCATCAAGCCCGCTTGACAGTTTTGAATTCCAAAGGCAAAAATCTCTTTGAGTGTGTGTGTGGCGTTGATCTCTTTTTGTAAATAAACACTCTTTTTGAACCAATGTCATAACGGCAGGCACTACTACTGGAGGTGCTTTCCATGAACGCCTTGTGTCACCAGTGATTTTGAGTGCTCCATTAACATAATATTTAGAGTTATTTTTCTCTTTATACCTTTCTATGGCTTCTGAGGATAGTCAAGGTGGTATTCTTCTGCACATTTGTCTTATATTTACCTTATGTGTGAGCTAGCTAACCGTGGTTTACCTGTTTATGTCGGTCATGGTCCACTCCACACCTGAGGGGTTGGAGAAGCATCTCCGGCAGAAAGGGGAACAAGCGGTCAAACAAGGGACTGATGAGGCGGGGGTCCAGGGTGGACGGCTTGCGTGGTCCTGACCATACCATCAACAGATATCATCATAATAAGAATTATATCTAGTATAAGCATTGGTACCTGCTCTTACATATCGATCCACTATAATAATATCATTAAACTAAGTAATGTTAGACCACTTCAATCACCCACCTATTCTCTACTATTAGAACTGCCTCACTCATTCACTAGAAGTCATTGTGGTGGGGTAGCCTTGTGGTTAATGCGTCCGCTCGTCACGCTGAAGACCCGGGTTCGATTCCCCACATGGGTACAATGTGTGAAGCCAATTTCTGGTGTACTCCGCAGTGATATTGCTGGAACATTGCTGAAAGCGGCGTAAAACCATATTCACTCACTCACTTACACACTACAAGTCAAACTGCCTCACTCGTTCACAAGTCAAGTAAGTTGTCTCACAAACCCATTACAGCCAACAACCTGTCTGGCAAGCTCACTCACTCACACCAGTGACATCTCTAATCCAGTGACTACACGTCAACAAATCGCTGTCTGACCTGAGAGTAGGCTGGTGACAAGCCCGGCCAGCACCAGCACTGCCATGGCGGTGGGAGTGTAGTACATGTAGGACAGCGAGTACAGTGGGAGGAACACGCTGCAATCAGTACCAAGGACGCCGTTCATAAACCCATCTCTCGACAACAGGGATCACATAGCAAAGATTGTTTTGAGTAGTTGATCGGATATAAGACATACAAAGGAAAACTGACGTCCTTGCGAGGGTAAATCGAAAATGTCGTGGTCTCATATTAGCACTGATTTCTTCTGACATTTGTCTACTGATCCAGTAGTAGTCCAGTCTGGTTCTCCTAGCCTTGCTGACATCTTAATCTTGGTGTCCGCAAGGAGCTCTCCTCGTTCCTGGCACAAATGCCACCAGGAGCCGGGTCAGGAATACAATGGGCATTTGGATGTCATAAAGTGTATGTATCGTCCTGAGACAGTAGGATGCTAGTTTACTTAGCTTCTGACGTAGTCCAAACTGCGTAATTGCCCGTTCATAGCGTAATATGTAGCCAATACTGATCAGAAACTGACACTGCGACTGCAGCCTGATTCCACCCGTGTCTTCTTCTTTAGTGGCTTGACCCAATTTCTACCCAATTTCATCACCAGTTTTGACCCAATGTCTACCCAATTTCATTATCAGTTTAGATTCAATGTAATGAAACTGGAACGGGAGTGCAATGCGCCCACCTTTCTGTTAGGTTTCTGTTGGAAAATGTAAAAACGCTCCCTGAAATAATTTCATTCGGGTCAGCTTCTAATTTGTTGTCGAGTCTGTTAGTTCAGATGAACTGTACTCACCCAGATCTGATCCCACTAATGTCAGCAAGGTGCAACACGTTGGTCAGGTATAACAGTGTGGTGAAGAACTTTCATTGGTGACAACCAGACCTTCTCTGCTACTTCCGCCTTGCAAATACACTGACCAGCTGGTAGGTGGTCATCACAAAAACCTATTTTCATATCTGAGTGCAGTTACTGTATCTTAATCACAGTTAATTCACAGTTTCTCCCAGTGAAACCGGTTTGCTTACATTTTGAAATCAGATGCAGTTGTGTGGTGTGGCCCCTAGTGTTGTGTGGTGTGGCCCCTAGTGTTGTGTTGTGTGGTGTAGCCCCTAGTGTTGTGTGGCGTGGCCCCTCGTGTTGTGTTGTGTGGTGTAGCCCCTAGTGTTGTGTGGTGTGGCCCCTAGTGTTGTGTGGTGTGGCCCCTAGTGTTGTGTGGTGTGGCCCCTAGTGTTGTGTGGTGTGGCCCCTAGTGTTGTGTGGTGTGGTGTGGCCCCTAGTGTTGTGTGGTGTGGCCCCTAGTGTTGTGTGGTGTGGCCCCTAGTGTTGTGTGGTCCACTGCTTTACACAAATACAGGAGGCCGCTAGCTTCTCGATTTACCCTCGTAGTGTGGACGTTTACGGATAATATACACTGAAACATGGTAAAGACATAACAATTATCAAACCTTGAGCTAGTCTCCGTGGTCACTGCAACTGTTGTCGTGTTCGAGTCTAAGATATTTGTGGTTGTAGTCACAAACATAGTATTATTATGCAATGGCGTTTCCATAGTAACGTTCCAGTTGCATCCATGAGTGAAGACGGGCGAGCGAACTCTGCTACCTGTCCTGTGCACAAACGCGCCGACCCCGATCCACGTCATGAATGCTACAGATGTTATGCTGCCAACAATGGCGCCCTGCACAAAGAAATGATGAAATTACAAACGCAGCCTGCCCACACCGAAAGAACTATTTCAGATACCCGATTTTGCACACGCACACGCACACGCACACGCACATGCACACACACACGCACATGCACACGAACACGCACACGCAATCGCAATCGCAATTGCTGGAATACGACTTACCTTCGAGTTGGCCCATGGAAAGAACATACCGAGGACAAAGATACCGAAGATTGGACCGTTGAGGAGAGATGTGGCTGCTGCAGCGGCCTGGTGAATGAAACCAGACTCAGGTTATGTGCATTTGGTTACATTTATCACGTAATAATGCTTTCACAATGTGTCAAATCTACATTCACCATGTAAACGCTCATGGCCAAATTTTAATCTCCTTCTTGCACTCTGGTTCCAGCTCTCCCTGGACAGTATACAGCCCACGTTGTCTGCCCAGGTTAACAGGCACCAACACCAATCAGCTCTGTCTACCGGGAACCCATTCACTGTTCAAACTAGGACTCCCAGAGAAGTGTGACACATTATTGTTAAATCGTTATGTCCTACCTGAAACAGTGTGCCCATCCGTGACACAGCGAAGGAGAGAAGAATGATAGTGGAACCACTCAGCGCCACTGGAAGATCAGATGACTATACGTTAAGACGTCCATCATGTCACACTGCGTTACATGCATGTCAGAACGTTAAATATGTCGTACCGATTACACACAATTTAGTTACACACACTGGTTAGTATGTTGGTGAATAATGGCACGGACTGATTTTACGTTAAAATATTAGTTATGTTACATGTACAGAGTACAGACTGACTGTACATTACAACGTTTGTAACCTTGGACGTATAGTCGTATTTGCCAACATGATGACGAATGAACATTCAGTCAAAACCACGATGCAGGTGTTTCATGAAACTGTCTACACCAGTAAGGATTAGAGACACCACCTGCTTGAAATACACCGTTTTGGAAGATATCGAATGCAAAGAAGATATTTACAATTCACACCCAAGGTTAAGTCGTGTATTAGATACAACAAATAGTTTTAACATGAAATAAAACTGCTCTGTATCGCTCACGCATATCGCATGATAGTATACCCGCTATGGAGCAACTTGCTTCACGTGGTTATTAGTTGGTCCTCAAGGTCAATACGTGCTATGAGTAACTGTATGGCCTCGATGCCTATATCAATACATCTATTTCTAAAGGTTCCTATAAAAGATGCAAGGTCTAAGTTTAGTTGGTTTTTCAATACATATCCAAAACCATACTTGTCTAATAGCTGTTTTACTTGTAACGCCCATCAAGGTATTCCAATTTCTGCTAGTCTATACTGATAAAGATAAGCATTTGATAAGATTATATTGTCATTCTGTTGAATCAACCGTACCCAAAAACTGATAATTCTTACAAATTGATTTATTTTCACTGAATAACGACCTAATTCACCACGAGCTAAAATATTTGGAGCTCCTCTTGGAAGATGCAATATTTCCTTTAAGAATTTATCATGTACATTAAGAATATCTTGACAAGGATGGAAACCCCAAATTTCCGTAGCATACGTCAATATAGGTAATATCTTAACATCGAAAACTTTTAATAGCACATCTAATGACAAATTAGTAAACATATGGATTCCACTTTTTAAAGAAAACAAAGCTTTCAAAGCTTGCTGCGACAAAATCTTTTGGGTTACAAACCAGCTTCCAGATGATGACAAATGAATACCAAGATATTTATAAGTGGGTACAATGTCAAGAGGTGAACCATCTAAACTGAAACGTTCATATTTGCAAAGTCGCCCGGCCTTCCTGAACACAATTATCTTACTTTTGTCAGTGTTTATTTTAAGTTTCCATCTATTACAATATAAAAGTAGTTTATCTAGACGTTTCTGTAACCCGTTGACAGTCATATCGAATAGAGCGATATCATCCGCAAAAAGCAAAATAAACAACTCTATGACACCTAAGTTGACACATCGCTGACCATCTGAACCAATGAAATCGACAATATCGTTAATCAAAAAGAAAACGGAAAGGGAGACAACTGGCAGCCTTGGCGAACACCTGATGAATACTCAAAGAATGGAGTATACCTAGCATTGAGCGAAATACAAGCTTTGACATCTTCATACATATTCTTTAGAATCCTAAATATTCTACCTTTAACGTTCCCTGTCCAAAGTTTGAACAAGAGACTATCTCGACACACGCAGTCGAATGTTGACTTTAAGTCTATAAATGCACAGTAAAAACGGGATTTGTGTACTAAAAGATATTTTTCAATCAAGACATTTATAATATATATGTTATCACTTGTACGAAAACCCTTCCGAAATCCAGCTTGTTCAGGTGATAGGAACTGTTCTTCCGATGCCCAATCATTTAACCTTCTACACAATATTTTGGAAAAAATCTTACCAGAAACCTCTAATAGAGATATAGGTCTGTAGTTAGTAGGATCCGCTGCACTTTTTGTAAACTGGAATAATTACTCCCAAAATCCATTCTTTCGGGTAAAAACCAGTAGACAGGATCAAATTAAATAAAGTACATAGTAAATGAAGACACTTTTGTGGTGCATTCTTAAAAAATTCAATCGGCATTCGAGAGTATCCTGGAGATTTGCCACACTGCATATCATTAATTGCATAACATATTTCCTGTAGCGTAATATCACTGTCTAGGTTATTGTATACATTAATCGTTTCATGTATCAGACGATCAGTTAATGTCTTTACAAAGTTCTCTACATAATCGTAAAAATCCTTCTCATCAGGTGTTTGATATCTACTACTAAACAGAGTTTTAAAATGAGTGGTCCATACTGGAGTCTCAATTGAGGTGGTCAAACGTGAGCGTTTGTTTCTGACAATATTCCAAACATTTCGCATGTTCTTATTTAAAATGGCGCTCGATAGTTTATGGCTTAATGCATCAAACGATTGTGTCGAATACTTCCAGGCAACAACGTAATTTTGTTTATCCCTATCAGATTTCGAAGCATAAAATGCACAGAGATAACATCTCGCTACTGCCTGTGCATGCCAACACTCTACATCATACCAGTTATGTACCTTAGAAGGCACAGTTCGACTGTCAATCAAAAAGAAATTCTAGATTATGTCCATTTTGTGTTATACCTGTAATTGAGACAGAATATCACATGTGGTTGGAATGTCCTTTTTACTATAATCTCAGACATACAATTTTGCCTGAGTTCTCTTGTACTCATCCTTCTTATGATAAACTGGTATTACTTTGCACATCACACGATTCAGGTATTTTAAATCGTTTAGCGAAGTTTTTGTTCCTTGCATTCAAACAACGTAACAATTACCTTAACAAAACTTGTACAACCCATTAAGTGTATGTTTATTGACCTTGTACAGTGTTATGGCGCTCCAGATTTCCACTTTCGTAATATGACTCATGTAAGTGTATAATGGGCCTGTGGCCCCTTTATTGAATAAACCAATTAAACTAACCTCAAAGAAACACGTTTCGTTGTTTGATAAGGGCATAATTCAGATCCCGGTACGTGTGCACTCACTGTGGCTTGACAGACATACTTACCAATAACCTTTGACATGATGGCGGAGGCCCTGTCAGAGATACTGCTACAACACCAGGGTTTGATGAGGTCGCCAGGAACGACAGCACTGACAGCGTTCAGTCCCGAGGAGATAGAGCTTCATGGACAAGCAGAGACATGTATGTAATATCTATACCTCTATACATGGTTCCTGTGTTATGGAAGAAGAGCGACTATTTTAAATGAATCTTAAATTGATTAAATGTTTCTAAAATGGTCCCAAAAACACTCATACGTAGATGTGCATATTCTTGGGTACACACATTGACCAATCAAACCCCCTCATTTTCATGGCTGCAACTGGGGAGGGATCACACACATACGCGAGACTGCCACTGAGGGGGGATGACACAAACATACCTGAGACTGCCACTGAGGAGGTATGACACACACATACATGAGACTGCCACTGAGGAGGGATGACACACTCATACCTGAGACTGCCACTGAGGAGGGATGACACACACATACCTGACACTGCCACTGAGGAGGGATGGGATGACACACACACATACCTGAGACTGCCACTGAGGATGACACACACATACCTGGATGCCACTGAGGAGGGATGACACACCTGAGACTGCCACTGAGGAGGGATGACACACACATACCTGAGACTGCCACTGAGGAGGGATGACACACATACCTGATACTGCCACTGAGGAGGGATGACACACACATACCTGAGACTGCCACTGAGGAGGGATGACACACATACCTGAGACTGCCACTGAGGAGGGATGACACACATACCTGAGACTGCCACTGAGGAGGGATGACACACATACCTGAGACTGCCACTGAGGAGGGATGACACACACATACCTGAGACTGCCACTGAGGAGGGATGACACACATACCTGAGACTGCCACTGAGGAGGGATGACACACATACCTGAGACTGCCACTGAGGAGGGATGACACACATACCTGATACTGCCACTGAGACTGGGATGACACACATACCTGAGACTGCCACTGAGGAGGGATGACACACACATACCTGAGACTGCCACTGAGGAGGATGACACACATACCTGAGACTGCCACTGAGGAGGGATGACACACACATACCTGAGACTGCCACTGAGGAGGGATGACACACACATACCTGAGACTGCCACTGAGGAGGGATGACACACACACCTGAGACTGCCACTGAGGAGGGATGACACACACATACCTGAGAGACTGCCACTGAGGAGGGATGACACACACACACTGCCACCTGAGGAGACTGCCACTGAGGAGGGATGACACATACCTGAGACTGCCACTGAGGAGGGATGACACACATACCTGAGACTGCCACTGAGGAGGGGATGACACACATACCTGAGACTGCCACTGAGGAGGGATGACACACATACCTGAGACTGCCACTGAGGAGGATGACACACATACCTGAGACTGCCACTGAGGAGGGATGACACACATACCTGAGACTGCCACTGAGGAGGGATGACACACACATACCTGAGACTGCCACTGAGGAGGGATGACACACATACCTGAGACTGCCACTGAGGAGGGATGACACACATACCTGAGACTGCCACTGAGGAGGGATGACACACATACCTGAGACTGCCACTGAGGAGGGATGACACACATACCTGAGACTGCCACTGAGGAGGGATGACACACACATACCTGAGACTGCCACTGAGGAGGGATGACACACACATACCTGAGACTGCCACTGAGGAGGGATGACACACACATACCTGAGACTGCCACTGAGGAGGGATGACACACATACCTGAGACTGCCACTGAGGAGGGATGACACACATACCTGAGACTGCCACTGAGGAGGGATGACACACATACCTGAGACTGCCACTGAGGAGGATGACACACATACCTGAGACTGCCACTGAGGAGGGATGACACACATACCTGAGACTGCCACTGAGGAGGGATGACACACATACCTGGACTGCCACTGAGGAGGGGATGACACACACATACCTGAGACTGCCACTGAGGAGGGATGACACACATACCTGAGACTGCCACTGAGGAGGGACACACACATACCTGGGACTGCCACTGAGGAGGGATGACACACATACCTGAGACTGCCACTGAGGGAGATGATGACTGCCACTGAGGAGGGATGACACACATACCTGAGACTGCCACTGAGGAGGGATGACACACACATACCTGAGACTGCCACTGAGGAGGGATGACACACATACCTGAGACTGCCACTGAGGAGGATGATGACACACATACCTGAGACTGCCACTGAGGAGGGATGACACACACATACCTGAGACTGCCACTGAGGAGGGATGACACACACATACCTGAGACTGCCACTGAGGAGGGATGACACACACACATACCTGAGACTGCCACTGAGGAGGGATGACACACATACCTGACTGACTGCCACTGAGGAGGGATGACACACACATACCTGAGACTGCCACTGAGGAGGGATGACACACACATACCTGAGACTGCCACTGAGGAGGGATGACACACATACCTGAGACTGCCACTGAGGAGGGATGACACACATACCTGAGACTGCCACTGAGAGGGGGATGACACACATACCTGAGACTGCCACTGAGGAGGGATGACACACATACCTGAGACTGCCACTGAGGAGGGATGACACACATACCTGAGACTGCCACTGAGGAGGGATGACACACATACCTGAGACTGCCACTGAGGAGGGATGACACACATACCTGAGACTGCCACTGAGGAGGGATGACACACACATACCTGAGACTGCCACTGAGGAGGGATGACACACATACCTGAGACTGCCACTGAGGAGGGATGACACACACATACCTGAGACTGCCACTGAGGAGGGATGACACACATACCTGAGACTGCCACTGAGGAGGATGACACACACATACCTGAGACTGCCACTGAGGAGGGATGACACACATACCTGAGACTGCCACTGAGGAGGGATGACACACATACCTGAGACTGCCACTGAGGAGGGATGACACACACATACCTGAGACTGCCACTGAGGAGGGATGACACACACATACCTGAGACTGCCACTGAGGAGGGATGACACACATACCTGAGACTGCCACTGAGGAGGGATGACACACATACCTGAGACTGCCACTGAGGAGGGATGACACACATACCTGAGACTGCCACTGAGGAGGATGACACACACATACCTGAGACTGCCACTGGGATGACACACACATACCTGAGAGACTGCCATTGACCTGAGACTGGATGACAGGGATGACACACATACCTGAGACTTGCACACTGAGGAGGATGACACACACATACCTGAGACTGCCACTGAGGAGGGATGACACACACATACCTGAGACTGCCACTGAGGAGGGATGACACACATACCTGAGACTGCCACTGAGGAGGATGACACACATACCTGAGACTGCCACTGAGGGGGGATGACACACATACCTGAGACTGCCACTGAGGGGGGATGACACACATACCTGAGACTGCCACTGAGGAGGGATGACACACATACCTGAGACTGCCACTGAGGAGGGATGACACACATACCTGAGACTGCCACTGAGGAGGGATGACACACATACCTGAGACTGCCACTGAGGAGGGATGACACACATACCTGAGACTGCCACTGAGGAGGGATGACACACACACCTGAGACTGACACACTGCCACTGAGGAGGGATGACACACATACCTGAGACTGCCACTGAGGAGGGATGACACACAAACCTGAGACTGCCACTGAGGGGGATGACACACATACCTGACACTGCCACTGAGGAGGGATGACACACATACCTGAGACTGCCACTGAGGAGGGATGACACACATACCTGATACTGCCACTGAGGAGCGATGACACACACATACCTGAGACTGCCACTGAGGAGGGATGACACACATACCTGAGACTGCCACTGAGGAGGGATGACACACACATACCTGAGACTGCCACTGAGGAGGGATGACACACATACCTGAGACTGCCACTGAGGAGCGATGACACACATACCTGAGACTGCCACTGAAGGGGATCACACACATACCTGAGACTGCCACTGAGGGGGATGACACACACACATACCTGAGACTGCCACTGAGGAGGGATGACACACATACCTGAGACTGCCACTGAGGAGGGATGACACACACATACCTGAGACTGCCACTGAGGAGGGATGACACACACATACCTGAGACTGCCACTGAGGAGGGATGACACACACATACCTGAGACTGCCACTGAGGAGGGATCACACACATACCTGAGACTGCCACTGAGGGGATGACACACACATACCTGAGACTGCCACTGAGGAGGATCACACACATACCTGAGACTGCCACTGAGGGGGGATGACACACACATACCTGAGACTGCCACTGAGGAGGGATCACACACATACCTGAGACTGCCACTGAGGAGGGATGACACACACATACCTGAGACTGCCACTGAGGAGGGATGACACACACATACCTGAGACTGCCACTGAGGAGGGACACACACATACCTGAGACTGCCACTGAGGAGGGATGACACATACCTGAGACTGCCACTGAGGAGGGATGACACACATACCTGAGACTGCCACTGAGGAGGGATGACACACATACCTGAGACTACCACTGAGGGGGGATGACACACACATACCTGAGACTGCCACTGAGGAGGGATGACACACATACCTGAGACTGCCACTGAGGGGGGATGACACACACATACCTGAGACTGCCACTGAGGAGGGATGACACACATACCTGAGACTGCCACTGAGGGGGGATGACACACACATACATGAGACTTCCACTGAGGAGGGATGACACACATACCTGAGACTGCCACTGAGGAGGGATGACACACACATACATGAGACTGCCACTGAGGGGGGATGACACACACATACCTGAGACTGCCACTGAGGGGGATGACACACACATACCTGAGACTGCCACTGAGGAGGGATGACACACACATACCTGAGACTGCCACTGAGGAGGGATGACACACACATACCTGAGACTGCCACTGAGGAGGGATGACACGAACATGCCCGGGATGCCTGGGTAGACGCCGAGGATGTCCATGACGAGAAGTGGCAGGGTCTGAACGGCACATACAACTACATGATGTAAGCGACACATACAACTACATGATGTAAGACGTGACAGTCTGTGACATCAGCATTCCCATCTTCCCTCGGTCCCAACTGACAACCATCCCACCTCCTCTGTCTGCACCTGAGCGCCCAGCTACATCCGTCCAGCCCTAACCAATATTTCATCCGATTGTTTCCCCGACCATCATATCTCACACCAATCCTCTCTTCAACCCTTGCCACTTCACCTGGTCTCGCGCTATCCGCAGCTGTGCAATCCCCACCCCCTTCCCCGACCACCACTCGTCTTGGCTATCGTCACACATGGATGTGTACAAACAATGGTGATTCCGATGATATCATCTCCGATTTTCAATGCAAATCACAGGAGGCATAAGCTGCAATCTTCCACGCCGGTCAATAACAGTAAATTCAATGCACAATATCTGACATGTGTGAATATTCTGTCACATGCATTCGGTAGGAGCGCATCTATATGATTGTATCTGCGTGTAGAGAACATAATGAAATACTCTGTCATGTCAAGCGTCATTATGCCAAACAATACATTAATACGTATCATGAATGTTTTTTCTTTGTTAATCAGACCTGATCAGTCCTGGAGATGAGGTTGTTGAAGCTGACGGGGTGGCAGTCGGAGTAGAAGGCGTACATCACGATGCCGATCATGCAGCACATGCTGATGACGATGATGAGAAAGAAAGTGTTGAGCACCAATGCACTGCGCAAAAAAATGCAAAAGTATATATCTATTTTGGTGGTGTGATAGCGAAAACAGAACAATATGAAATATATTCTTGCTGGAATCTCCGTACATAAGACCCGGTTTCGACATCCTTTCTGTAAAGCCAGTTCGCTGTTAGATATCAGTATTGAAAATCAGATTCGGGGCTGACCACTACGGGTACCTCTGCAATACCAAATGACCACAGGTCACCACCTGAAGGTGTAGACAGAGCTTGCAGCACTTACACCTGAGCCTTGGCGATGCTTCTGCAGGATAGGGCTCGCTGCACCTGCGCTTGGTTAACTCCGTACAGCGACATCCACATGAACCCGCCGCCTACAACCAGGGACCAGAAGGAGTGGCGGGTAGTTGGGTCAATGTCGAAACTGAGGAATAGAAAGGTAACGTTCAGAGTCATGACTAGCATGTACATAGCACCAATTGTGAAGAATAGCATGCAGTGACGGAGCTTGGGTATGGAAAGCATCATTGCTTTGAGGAGACCTATATTTGTGAAGTGACGCTTCCAGATTTACAGATATGTATTAAAATGCACCGTAATCATTAATCCGAAAATAGATAGATTCGGTTGAAAGGTGACAGACACAGGGTATAAGCTATCCAGAAATATGGTATAATCTTTTTCAGAGACACGGTACAAACCATTCAGACACAAGGTATAACCTTCTCAGACACGCGGTGTATAAGCTACTCAGACACAGAGTATAAGGAGTACAAGTACAAGGAGGCATATATACTCATGGAACATAATCCTGGATCGTTGGTAAGCAATCCCCCCAGGCCTTGTCAAAGCCACCCATGACGACGGAGCCCCTGATGAGGATGGCGACGAGGCCGGCAATAATGATGAACGCCTGGAACGTGTCCGTCCACACCACCGCCTTCATCCCGCCCTACAACAAAACCCCTCAGTAGAACTTGGCATGTCTGACTTTACTTTACATCATTACATCTGACATTAGCCATAGGCATGCGGCTCTCTCCTTAAATCACAGGTAAATAAAACTAACGGGTTGCTAGATTGAATCCGTATCATATACTAATGGAACTAAGTAAATGTGCATTGTTTGATGTTATGTCATTTTAGGTCTTTGAATGAACAGCTGTACATGAGGCCCATTGATCTCATCCCTATATCGCAGATCTGCCAGACTGACATTGACGATGACAAGTTGTGCCTGAACATAAGATGTGATGCCTCCCCACACCATAACTGTCGACGTTGAACAACGCACGCGTCAGCATACGGTTCACCTCGCTGTCTGTACACCCTTGCCCGCCATCTGAGCTGTCCAAATTAAAGCAGTCAAACTGGCAGTCTGGAATCGATTCCTTAGATGGGTCAGCCGAATGTGGTTGTCATGCTGACGTGACGTCATGCGTGGACGGCGGGTCCGAGGCAAATCTGCCGTGTTCCCATTATGTTGAAAACGTCTCCATAGAGATGAGATCGTGTTTCGATGGGCACCCAGATATCTCGCCACTTCATTGTGGGCCATTCCAGTCTCCAGCATACCCACGGCTGATTTTCTGTAAACCGTGGCACGACGTACACGCAGTTCAGGTTGAAATTACCGTGTTTTCCACAACATTCAGAGACTAGAGAATATACAACCGTTCTTCAATTTTGAATATCAGATGTATGCAAAATGTGAGTAAGTCCATTGTGCACAAAGTGCATGTACCACGCGCGATACGTGACATCAAGTTTCAGTGCTCTGCTAAATGTTTAATCTTAAAACTTTTCAAATAACTTTTATTTCATGCAATATTATGTTATGCACAGTTACCCCTTTCCGTTAGCATACAAGCAGACCTGGTACATGTCACAGGGGCTTGTAACGTTAGTATACAAGTAGACCTGGTACATGTCACAGGGGCTTGTAACGTTAGTATACAAGTAGACCTGGTACATGTCACAGGGGCGTGTAACGTTAGTATACAAGTAGACCTGGTACATGTCACAGGGGTTGTAACGTTAGTATACAAGTAGACCTGGTACATGTCACAGGGGCGTGTAACGTTAGTATACAAGTAGACCTGGTACATGTCACAGGGGCTTGTAACGTTAGTATACAAGTAGACCTGGTACATGTCACAGGGGCTTGTAACGTTAGTATACAAGTAGACCTGGTACATGTCACAGGGGTTCTAACGTTAGTATACAAGTAGACCTGGTACATGTCACAGGGGCTTGTAACGTTAGTATACAAGTAGACCTGGTACATGTCACAGGGGCTTGTAACGTTAGTATACAAGTAGACCTGGTACATGTCACAGGGGCTTGTAACGTTAGTATACAAGTAGACCTGGCATATGTCACAGGGGCGTGTAACGTTAGTATACAAGTAGACCTGGTACATGTCACAGGGGCGTGTAACGTTAGTATACAAGTAGACCTGGTATATGTCACAGGGGCGTGTAACGTTAGTATACAAGTAGACCTGGTACATGTCACAGGGGCGTGTAACGTTAGTATACAAGTAGACCTGGTATATGTCACAGGGGTGTGTAACGTTAGTATACAGGTAGACCTGGTACATGTCACAGGGGCGTGTAACGTTAGTATACAAGTAGACCTGGTACATGTCACAGGGGCTTGTAACGTTAGTATACAAGTAGACCTGGTACATGTCACAGGGGCTTGTAACGTTAGTATACAAGTAGACCTGGTATATGTCACAGGGGCGTGTAACGTTAGTATACAAGTAGACCTGGAACATGTCACAGGGGTTGTAACGTTAGTATACAAGTAGACCTGGTACATGTTACAGGGGCTTGTAACGTTAGTATACAAGTAGACCTGGTATATGTCACAGGGGTGTGTAACGTTAGTATACAGGTAGACCTGGTACATGTCACAGGGGCGTGTAACGTTAGTATACAGGTAGACCTGGTACATGTCACAGGGGCTTGTAACGTTAGTATACAAGTAGACCTGGTACATGTCACAGGGCTTGTAACGTTAGTATACAAGTAGACCTGGTACATGTCACAGGGGCTTGTAACGTTAGTATACAAGTAGACCTGGTACATGTCACAGGGGCGTGTAACGTTAGTATACAAGTAGACCTGGTACATGTCACAGGGGTTGTAACGTTAGTATACAAGTAGACCTGGTACATGTTACAGGGGCTTGTAACGTTAGTATACAAGTAGACCTGGTATATGTCACAGGGGCGTGTAACGTTAGTATACAAGTAGACCTGGTACATGTCACAGGGGCTTGTAACGTTAGTATACAAGTAGACCTGGTACATGTCACAGGGGTTGTAACGTTAGTATACAAGTAGACCTGGTACATGTCACAGGGGCTTGTAACGTTAGTATACAAGTAGACCTGGTACATGTCACAGGGGCTTGTAACGTTAGTATACAAGTAGACCTGGTACATGTCACAGGGGCTTGTAACGTTAGTATACAAGTAGACCTGGTACATGTCACAGGGGCTTGTAACGTTAGTATACAAGTAGACCTGGTACATGTCACAGGGTTGTAACGTTAGTATACAAGTAGACCTGGTACATGTCACAGGGCTTGTAACGTTAGTATACAAGTAGACCTGGTACATGTCACAGGGGCTTGTAACGTTAGTATACAGCAGTAGACCTGGTACATGTCACAGGGGCTTGTAACGTTAGTATACAAGCAGACCTGGTACATGTCACAGGGGCTTGTAACGTTAGTATACAAGTAGACCTGGTACATGTCACAGGGGCTTGTAACGTTAGTATACAAGTAGACCTGGTACATGTCACAGGGGCTTGTAACGTTAGTATACAAGTAGACCTGGTACATGTCACAGGGCTTGTAACGTTAGTATACAAGTAGACCTGGTACATGTCACAGGGCTTGTAACGTTAGTATACAAGTAGACCTGGTACATGTCACAGGGGGCTTGTAACGTTAGTATACAAGTAGACCTGGTACATGTCACAGGGGCTTGTAACGTTAGTATACATAGTAGACCTGGTACATGTCACAGGGCTTGTAACGTTAGTATACAAGTAGACCTGGTACATGTCACAGGGGCTTGTAACGTTAGTATACAAGTAGACCTGGTACATGTCACAGGGGCTTGTAACGTTAGTATACAAGTAGACCTGGTACATGTCACAGGGGCTTGTAACGTTAGTATACAAGTAGACCTGGTACATGTCACAGGGGCGTGTAACGTTAGTATACAAGTAGACCTGGTACATGTCATGTCACAGGGGCTTGTAACATTAGTATACAAGTAGACCTGGTACATGTCACAGGGCTTGTAACGTTAGTAGCACAAGCAGACCTGGTACATGTCACAGGGGCATGTAACGTTAGTATACAAGTAGACCTGGTACATGTCACAGGGGCGTGTAACGTTAGTATACAAGTAGACCTGGTACATGTCACAGGGTTCTAACGTTAGTATACAAGTAGACCTGGTACATGTCACAGGGGCTTGTAACGTTAGTATACAAGTAGACCTGGTACATGTCACAGGGGCTTGTAACGTTAGTATACAAGTGGACCTGGTACATGTCACAGGGGCTTTGTAACGTTAGTATACAAGTAGACCTGGTACATGTCACAAGGGCGTGTAACGTTAGTATACAAGTAGACCTGGTACATGTCACAGGGGCGTGTAACGTTAGTATACAAGTAGACCTGGTACATGTCACAGGGGCGTGTAACGTTAGTATACAAGTAGACCTGGTACATGTCACAGGGGCTTGTAACGTTAGTATACAAGTAGACCTGGTATATGTCACAGGGGTGTGTAACGTTAGTATACAGGTAGACCTGGTACATGTCACAGGGGCGTGTAACGTTAGTATACAAGTAGACCTGGTACATGTCACAGGGGCTTGTAACGTTAGTATACAAGTGGGACCTGGTACATGTCACAGGGGCTTGTAACGTTAGTATACAAGTAGACCTGGTATATGTCACAGGGGCTTGTAACGTTAGTATACAAGTAGACCTGGTACATGTCACAGGGGTTGTAACGTTAGTATACAAGTAGACCTGGTACATGTCACAGGGGCTTGTAACGTTAGTATACAAGTAGACCTGGTACATGTCACAGGGGCGTGTAACGTTAGTATACAAGTAGACCTGGTACATGTCACAGGGGCTTGTAACGTTAGTATACAAGTAGACCTGGTACATGTCACAGGGGTTGTAACGTTAGTATACAAGTAGACCTGGTACATGTCACAGGGGCTTGTAACGTTAGTATACAAGTAGACCTGGTACATGTCACAGGGGCTTGTAACGTTAGTATACAAGTAGACCTGGTACATGTCACAGGGGCTTGTAACGTTAGTATACAAGTAGACCTGGTACATGTCACAGGGGCTTGTAACGTTAGTATACAAGTAGACCTGGTACATGTCACAGGCTTGTAACGTTAGTATACAAGTAGACCTGGTACATGTCACAGGGGCTTGTAACGTTAGTATACAAGTAGACCTGGTACATGTCACAGGGGCTTGTAACGTTAGTATACAAGTAGACCTGGTTATGTCACAGGGGCGTGTAACGTTAGTATACAAGTAGACCTGGTATATGTCACAGGGGGTGTAACGTTAGTATACAAAGTAGACCTGGTACATGTCACAGGGGGCTTGTAACGTTAGTATACAAGTAGACCTGGTACATGTCACAGGGGCTTGTAACGTTAGTATACAAGTAGACCTGGTACATGTCACAGGGGCTTGTAACGTTAGTATACAAGTAGACCTGGTACATGTCACAGGGTTTGTAACGTTAGTATACAGGTAGACCTGGTACATGTCACAGGGGCTTGTAACGTTAGTATACAAGCAGACCTGGTACATGTCACAGGGGCTTGTAACGTTAGTATACAAGCAGACCTGGTATATGTCACAGGGGGCGTGTAACGTTAGTA